TATATATATATATATATATATATATATATAAATCACCAATTCCGTTCGATCGCGCATCTGACGACCGACAGAGCGCGGCGAATATTCGTTTCGCCAACATTTCTCTGATATTTTATTTTATTCCGGTTTGGGGGAACCGTTTCACAAAACGATGTACATTTGTCGCGAAATCTTCAAATCGATCGTAAATTTTATATCGAATATACCTTATAAGTGTGAAATATTTGTAACATTTGGTGAGATGGGAAAGAAGTGTATTACGATTTTACAGCTTCGACTGATTTGAAAATAAAAATTCTGCGAAAAATATCATTTCTTCACATCTGCACCGGAGAATGCAAATTGTTCGATTTGTTTCTGAATTTAATAATTAATTATAATATCTGAATGAATGTTAGTATCAGAAAATTTAATCCTCTAATTCTCACCAATAAGTCCAAAATATTTTCTACACTCGATCAACGAGATTGAACGGTGTTTATAATCGAATAATATATTATAATAGAATTTAATTTAAGAAAAAAACTCTTTAATACCCTGTTAATCCCGTATGTTCCGAAGAAGGAAAGAAAGACAAGTTTATTTTACAAAAGCATTATCAAACGTTAACTTCCATTTTGTTCGACAACAGTGGGCGTGTTCGCAAACACGATCATGAAAACCCTCCAGGCCGTCGACCTATGTTCCCCCTCGAATCGACAAGAGGAAACACCTTTCGATATCAACATCCCCGCCCCTCGATGGGAAAACAGGTAGTTTCGACCTCGTGGCCCGAGTCTCGAGCACATCAGTCGTAAATCCTTTGCCGAGAGACAGGTCGCCGCGTATTGTCGGCGAACCTGGGAAGAGAGGGGAGAGGGAGAGAGAGAGGGAGGGAGTCGATAAATCATCCCGCGGTTTCGGATCAATTGCAAGGGGCAACAAGGTCGGTAAATAACGAATCACGCGGGCTTTCAATTTGCTCTTTCACGCACGTGAAGGGAGAATCGATTGGGAAATTCGGGTGCAGGTCGATGGCGAAACCATCGATCGAATAATCGATCGCCTCGTTAAGATGATGGGGGCAGCCATCGGAAAGAACTCGAGGAATTCGTATTCGAATCGAGCGCGAATCTATCTTTTTATCTGTAAAAAGAAGAAAAAAAGAAAAAAAAGAAATCTCTGCAACGACCGGTATCCCGGTTTCTTTAGATACACGCTGCATCTCGACTCGAGAGAATAGCTAAAATACGGCAAGAGGGATCGAGATATATCGTGGAGAAAGA